CCAGACCAACTGAGTTTTTCCAACAATTTCTGTTTTCGTTTGCATGAGAATTTTTCATCTCTACTCTCAAAATTGAGAAAAAAACAATGCCCAAGCATATAAGGCACTGCCCTAGATCCCCCAAGAACTTTTTAAATGTGGCTTAACAACAAACTGGTGATGAGCCCAAGTGGTATGAGATGGATTCCCTGAGGGGATCTTTCATTGGTATGTTTTGGAATCAAATACATAACTAACTCCAGCACTATAGCATCATTTTTCTATGAATGTGGAGTGGAAGCTGTATCAATATTGTTACAAGTCTAATAGATGTGTGAATTTTAGGAAATACAGATATAAACCTGATTTTTATTAGTTCTATGAGGATAGCCATGAGCTAAACTTTCTGCTTATTGACCATGAATTGATCAGTAATCTAGCCCATATGCCTCAAACTGACTTTTTTTCAGTTGTCTGACATTTGTATTGTGATTTATTATTTTGTTTCTGATATGCATAAATGTTGATAATTTGATAGTAATGATATTAGTGTGTCTCTCCTACATAAGGTTGATTGTACTAACAAGAGAGCAGAAGTTCATGGTCAATGAGTATACTGATAACCATGCAAACATATACATGAAACCATTGACGACCACAAGCCTTCTATCACTCCCATTCCAGTCTCCCTCTGGTATTGCTAATCCTTTCAAACCTCATGTCTTGTCACCACACCGGTGTTGTGTTGTAACTCACTCCTCCTACTTCCGCTTGCAATCACTGTTTGTTGCGGCTCAGTGTTTCCAAAGAGTCAACAGCTGGGTTGCAGTGCTTCAGTGTGCCACTATAGCCTACTGCAGCTTTCTTCTGTTTTTCCCAATGTCTCCATAACATACTTGCTCTGAATTTCAGTGAATTTTATGTTGTATTTGTTAGTGACTATCCTTTTTTTATGACTTCTAGTTTTGGATTGTCCAACAAAATTTTTTTCTGTTTATCCTCTCAGTCTCTATTATTAAGTTAGGTGGATTGGCGATGCTAAATTGCCCATAGAATCCAGGAATATGCAGGCTAGGTGGATTAACCATGTGAAGTGCGAGGTTACAGGGATCGGATAAGGGGGTCGGTCTGGATGGGATGCTCTTAGGAGGGTCGGTGTGGACTCAATAGGCCAAATGGCCTGCTTCCTTGCTGTAGGAATTCTATGATTCATGATTACATGTTCCATCCAAATACATCTAGCTTAACAAAATTATGCATTGAAACTACATTAATCAATGCTGGAACTGTTCACATCTTCCAGTACATCATCGTTAGTGACTGTGGTTTGTCACAAAATGTAATGTAACGTGCAAAAGTGAAACTTTTCCACCAGTTTACAGAGCCTTTGATAGAGCACAGCTTCATAGCACAGCATGTTTAGACTACTTTATAAAATTGCTAACATCACCATTTCATATTTTGTTTTTCTTAAGTTTATCAGAATAGAATCATGTCAATAGCTGTAATGTAGTCAAGTTTTGAGGAAAGGAGGCAACCTACTAAAAGGATTCAACCATTCATTGCAAAATGAAGAATAGAATGTTTTTCGAAAGCATTCATATCGAAACAGAACAAAATAAATGTGTTTTATTTCTGATATGCTTTCATTTTGTCTGTTGTTTGACGAGCTGCTCCCTTCACTGTGGGAACAAACCTACACTAAACCAATGTATTTATATTAGAGTGGAGAATTGATTGGTGGGGAGAGATGCCTCCATTCCCCCCAGCCCTCCCCACCCTTCCCCAGTGTAAAGAGCACAGCAGCATCCCAAAAAAAGGGGGTGTGACTTTGCACCTGTTAGAGCTGCCCATGACAGAACAGCAAAAAAAACTGTCGAAAGCAACAAGTTTTGCAGTACACATTTAACAGAAATTAAAGTGTGTGAGAAAGGTTTGTGTTCTCCGCAATTAGAACAATAGCTGTCTGTTTAAGTAAGATTGGATGTGCAACATTCTTTGCTATCCTAAAGATAAGCACATTTTATACCCATCAGTTACTTCTCTTAAGTTTCTTTTCTAATCAATCAGTTATAATACTAGAAATAGTTTTTAATTAGTATTTTTAGAGATAATTATAGGTACAGTTTCAAAATAAATTATAGAATTAACACACGTGTGTGTGTGTATATATACAAACGTTAGAAAGAAAGGTTTAAAAACTAATTAGGAGTAATGGAGATGGGCCTCCCCGTCACTTATCAGGGATACGAGAGTTGGAATGGTGGGAAATTCAAAGAAGACGCTGTTACTGCGTTGTACCAGACAGCAGACATACATCATACTTGGGAAGTAAAAGGTCACAAGTGACCAGGGAGAATTCAGTTTCCTCTGTACCAAAATGGCCCAATCACATCACAACAACAAGCGATTACTAATATAGAGTGATGTACTGGAAACTCAATCGTAGTTGAACAACCCAGCACTAATTAACCAATAGTATAGAGGGGGAGGGAGTATGTGCCACCATGTTAATGCTACAAGAAAAATGTATAAAAGACAATTTACGTGTATTTAAAATTAGAGCGTCATTGACTTGTCTTCCGAACTGAGCTGAAGATTAAGGGGGTAATTAAACCCTCGCGTTGAGGCCAGATCCAGGGTAGTCTTTGGCCTCTCCCTGCTTTGTACCGGTAGATGCTTGAAATAAATTACCACGTGCCTGAAACTCTGCTGTCTCCTGAAAATTTATTACCTCCGTAAACTCGCTCCTCCAGCACCCAGTTCTCGTCAACAGTGTGGCGGACTTTGTATTTCAAAACGCCAACAGCTATGTGGAGGGAATGCCCAGCTCAGTCCAATATGCCTTTTTATGATGTAAATGAGGAGTACGTAGTACATAAATTTTGCACTGTTTCAGCTGATACTCCGGCCAAAGAAGAGTCCAAAGAAGGAAATGTTGATTCATTTTTATTGGATTCAGAGGGGCAGGAATGCTCCTACTAAAAAAAAACTACCTGACCCTATGCTCAATCAGGTCCCAACCCCCGAGAATAGCCCCTTCCCCTAGATCTAAATCTTGCTGGACCAGAAACTGAGCCGCCTGCCCAACAGCTTAGATTCTCTGAAATTCCTGATTTCTTATCCTGTTCTCAAAACTGGCACGGCTTTCCGTCCGGAGTATTACAAGGCCAGCAGAACCATGCTTGGGGCAAAGTCCCAGTGTTTAACATGCTAACTCCAGCCTTGGTTGCATGACTACTTTGTTCTGTAAGTAATTCAAATCAATTAATTTCCAGTAGCTAGAATAAAGTCCAGCAACCTCCCAAATGTTTCAACAATTAAATTTAATTAGCAAAGTAGGCAGATTTATTCAATTTGAGGACACCCTTTCTGTTTTATTCCTGTGGATATTTGACAGCCTTGGACAATTGTGAATGATACATCATGGTTTTCTTTTGTTGAAAATCAAAGAGGATGAAAAGTGCAAAGTAAATTTGCCCAGAAAAAAATCACAGATTTTTAAAAATGTTGATACAGTAGGTCAGGATCATTTAATCAGCTGGATTTTATTATTAATGACTTTAACAATAAGAGAAAATTTTTTTTTACCCTTTCCTTACCCATTTTTGGAAGGGTCAAGATTTTCAGAGCAGCACCATACATTGTTGAATATCATACAACTGCTTTTTCCTGACATTAGACCAATTTAAATTGATGTATTTTTTCCTTGACACTAACAAAGACTAGAGAATACATAGCTTGCTGATTAACCAATTCTGCAGAACTTATCAGTCATCACCCAAAGTAAAGCAAATTAAGGCTCAAAATACACAGGGCATGAGGGTATATGGCAAGCAAATGAATCCAATTCCAGAATCACCTGGGAAAATTCATTCATGTGGTGACCATTCAGAGGAAAGACACCCTCAAGGATAGGAAGAATTAGTGAAGGGCTACTCCTCCAATCAGTGGTGAGCTCTCTCCCACACTTGTTGCTGACACGTTATTGGTGAGTGGGAAAGAATCAGCCTCTGATTGGATGAGCAGGGTGAGTGGTAGTAGTCAGCAAGTCCAGAGGAGGCAGGAGTGGGAATGGGAAGCATGTCCCCAGGGTAGAGGAGCAAAACTGATGACCAAAATCAGTGAGACTGAGGGCAAAGGCTGTGGATCAAGGCAGTTGGAGACGGATGTGATGTGCTGCTGCAAAATAGGAGAGTGAACCCTTGGTGGGAGGCAGCAAGGGGATGCAGAGGGGGAGTGAGAAGATAAAAAAAGAAGAGGGGTTTCAAAGGAGGTGCAAGGGGCTACGGAAACAGACTTTACAGAACAAGAAACAGGTCAATATTTTCTTGCAAATTAATGTGGAGTCTTTAGATTGAAGAATTTAAGATTAAAGTATATATGGGGGAAATGTAGTAGGCGAAATGGACACTGTCAATTCTGTGATATTGACAAGTTTATTTCATAAAGATTCATATTAGTGTTATCCCATTTCAAATTTCTTATAATGTTGTGAATTCATTGAGGTACAATAGCTATGTTAGAAACAAAGGGTCAATTATGTGTAGAAATGTCAGGTTTTTTTCAAAAAGTACTTGTTGCTATTCTATGCCTGTTTTATGTTTCAGTTTTAATACATGGTTTCTGAATAAAAAAATTGCAGTTTGTGTTGTGGCTCTAAGTTTCACAGGCTAAGAAGATTATCAGGGTATTGACAAATTTGATCATCTCTGCTTCTTTGTGAGTGCAAATTCCCCCTGTATCAATGCAAATATAGGAGAAATTGTTACTGGGTGACTGCATCATGAAAATAAAGGTAGTGAGACCGAAAAAGGATTGTGAAAACTAAAAATCAGCCCTCAGAAATCAAAAAGTAACCTTTGACAAATCTCTGAGCACTTGAAAAATATTGAGCCCCGATACGAATGCTCAATACGAACATCTAACTGCTATTGAGAAATGATGGAAACAGTCTGTTTTGATGGTGTGTTTGTTTGCTAAGTAGTTTGTGATTGGTATTTGCATGTTCTTTTATCCAGGGAGAAAAAGGTATTGCAGGTCCTCCAGGATTACGGGGGTCAATGGGATTAAAGGTAAAATATAAATTTATTGTGTTTTCTTAACACACAGATCTGGGATAGAGCTGGATTGAATGCTCTTCTGCCAGTGAGTCTCAAAGTAGGGGTGTTGTTGACCTTCCAATTATCTACCTGCCTATGGTCTATCAGCAACTTTACAGCGAGCAAAAGAGGCATGAGGTGACCCAGCCACCCTTGGGGCCATTTAGGCATAACAGCAGTCAGGGGCCTTCTCTTGGCCTTGCCTCTATTTTGACTGTGGTGTGGTGTTGTGGGGAGGGAGAAGGAGGGGAAAGAGGACCCACATCAGCCTGAAGCCCAACAGCTTAAGCTGCCTATTGCGAGGTCAAGCAAGAAGGAATCCACCTTTCTGTAGCAACTCCCAGCTCATTCCTCCCTACCCCCAGCTCATCTCTGTCTGTAACCCTTTCCCAGGCCTCTGACACTGTGAGGATTAGAGATTGGCCAGCAGATCTCTAAACTGGGACTTCTTCCTGAGACCAGGTGGGGGCAGTAGAGAGCAAAAGTCTCTCTTTGAAGCAGTTATCCAAATGTTTATAATAAAAAGGTTAAAATATTATCCATATTATCCTGAAGAATAAATTAATATAACATAACTAATTAAATTGGATGGTATTTGATAATTATCAGGAGGTATGACCCCAATTAATATTTTTCATATCAGTCTACTTTCAAGGAATTTACTTCATTCACAAAGAAATGCAGAGATGTCACTGACTCTGTGCTTCAGACAGACTGCAATGTCAAATGTGATGGGCAGAACTTTTACGAAAAACTCTAAAACAACCAGCATCATTCCTCCAAACTTCAGCTATGTTGCTTATAATCAGAAGTAAAAACAAGAGATGAATCAACATTTTCTGAACTTCCTATCCTACAGCAAGACATTTCATCTCAATCATTCCTGATGTGCACGGGCTCCTCTCTTCAAAGTTTTTGTCCTTATCTATTATTATGGCTTTTCTCTACCCTGCCTTTGTAACTGCTTCCAGAACAAAGTCGCAGCTTGTATTCTCCACATCCCCAAACACAGCTTACCAAAAGTAAAGGGACCTTTAGTCATTGTATACCACCTTTCTGGAGACCATAGCTCCTCAATCACACTTCTGAGTTGCCCAGATTTCTACTCTGTATCCTAAGCAATACACCCAGAAACGGTTTGTTATGTTAAAGGGGCTGTAGGAATGAATCTGATTGTTGCTACTGGGAAAACCCAGTAAAGATGTTTCTCAAAGACCAAAGCTGCCAAAGAAATTAATTTAGAACATTATTTATATTTACTGACAAAATATTTTTACTGCTGTAGTTTATATTTCTGCAACACTTACAAATCAAGGGATGCTAACATTTTGGGCCCTAAAGGCTGGCACATAATTTGATTGTCAGAATAACATGCAGATTTAAATGCTAAAACACAATGTTGCATTTAATTATGGTTGCACTGAATTTATTCAGTGGTCGGCAGATTTTTACCAGATGTCATGGAATTCATTTTAGGGTGAACCTGGCGAGAAGGGTGAAAAGGGACGCCCAGGACTGAATGTAAGTACTTTATGAATTTTGTTAAGTTCTGTAGTGACCGGAAGCGTCTGCCTGTCTAAAGATGGTGCTGCAGCATGTAAAATAAAGTCCCCTGTATGTCAAAATAAAATGTGTTTATTTTGTTTTGAAGTTGACCCCTCTTTTTGGCAACACCCCTCTCCTCCCTCCAGGTAGATTCCCATGCACTAGCCCTCCTCTCTCACTCCCCTCCTTCCCACAGACTTTCCATCACTTGCAGATGAAAAGGAGGCTAGGTCTCAATATATTTCCAAATGTAGCTCTCACTGTCCTCAGATGGCCAACATCCCCAATCTTCCTTTGTTTCTCAACTAAATTGCAAACATAGATGATGTGCTCAAGTCTCTGTTGTGGGAATAGACCACACATTCTTCAGATTCAGTGATGGAGTTCTATAACTGAGCCAAGACCAGCATTAGTCTAAATTGCAAATGTCATGAGTAATTCACATATGGTCTACATTCCAAAATGTGCGTTTTAGAGAAAATGTCACTGAAATTTCAGGGAAGAAAATTGTAAGCATAGACTGGTACAGAATGGAAACAGGCCATTTGGCACATCATGCCTGTGCTGGCTGTGACTGTCCAAATAGCTCCAGTCTACTGAACTTTCTCATAATTTTGTACCTTTTTTCCTCTGAAGTATTTGTCCAGTTTCTTTCCAGGCATTATCATTGAATCTACACCACTACCTTCAGACAACGGCTCAAATATTTCTTTCTACAACAAATACTCTTTGAGGTTAATATTAATCCTGAAGTGCAGCAGAGTTGAGTTAGTAAAATCACAAGCCAGCCTCCCTGCCAAAGCATGTAAAACACAATGAGGCGTTTGATACCTGTGCCATGAAAGCTGGTCTTGCATGATCAACTGTTGGCATTCCAGGCGCTTCACAGATAACACACACAGCTTTTTTTTTTAGCCACTTTAACTGGCGTCAGCAGTCACTGAAAAGTTTCTGATTTTGTTTTTTGTGTTCTGGGTATATTCCTTGAGTGAAGGAAGGTGAGAGGCCACCAGGTGCAGTGAGAGAAGCATCGGATGAACACTATATCTTGAGTGCACCAGGAATTTAGAAGCTACCTTGTCCATGTTTGTGCTGAAAGTCTTTTGAACTGAATTTCTCATGCTGTTGAACTAGTGCTTTCTCCATATTTATTATCAACTTGTATGAAGGGTCAAAAAGGTGAACAAGGAACAACGGAGATAATAGACTACGATGGAAAAATCCAAGAGGCTCTACAGGTAGTGTTTTCACAGTAAATATGAATCAGAATGTGTGAAATTGAAAGGACATACAAACGTAGGAGTAAACCATTCACCACTCTTGCTGACTCCACCATTTAACATGATCATGGCTGATCTGCTTGTGACCCAACTCCACATTCTCATCTACCATTGAAAACTACTAACCCCCTGATTGTCAAATATCTGTTTACTTCTACTTTAAATATACCTAATGATCAGGCTTCCATCACTCTCTTGGAAAAAGAGTACCAAGGATTCGCAACCTTCTCATTCCAGACTGAAATGGAAGATCCCTGACCATTAAAATATGTGCCATCGTTCTAGGTCTCTCCCACAAGGAGAAACATCCTTGCAACAACCATCTATCAGGTCTCCTCGGGATCTTTTATGTCTCAATAAGATCATCTTTCTTCTAAACTCTTATGGAAAGAGCTTAGTCTATTCAACCTTTCCTCATAAGATAATCCCCTAACCAGGTATCAGTCACATGTACCTTCTCTGAACTGCCTCTAATACATTTACATCCTTACTTAAATAAGCAGACCAATACTGTATGCAGTACTGCAGATGTGGCCTCGCCAATCTCCTTATCACTTAAGCAAAATATTCCTACTATTATATTCTTTTCCACTTGGAATAATTGACAACATTTCATTTGCCTTCCTAATCATTTACTGTACTACATGCTAACTTTTTAGGATTCATATTGTGCCAAGACACTCAGATCATTCTGAACCTCAGAGTTCTGCAATCACTCTCTCCTTAAATAATACACTTTCATGTTTTCTCACATGTTCCATTTGCCAAATTTTTGCCTAATGAATTGACCTCACTACATCCCTATGTAGCCTCCTTATGGTCATCTTCATAACTTCCTTTCCTACCTATCTATGTATTATTAGCAGCCATATATTCATTCCCTTCATCCAAGTCACTGATATAAATTGTAAATAATTGCAACCCCTGCACTGATCTCAGTGGCATATCACTCATCACATCCTGCCAACCCAAAAATGACGCATTTTACTCACCCTCTGGTTCCCATTAGCCAACCACTCTTCTAACCAACCTAATATGTTACCCGTTATGCTGTGAGTTCTTTTTTTTTTGTAGTAAGCCTTGATATTGCCCTCTCAAATGCCTTCTAAAAATCTAAGTACATTCACCAATTCCCCAAGTGTCTAGACCCGAAACGTCAACTTTCCTGCTCCTCTGATGCTGCTTGGCCTGCTGTGTTCATCCAGCTCTACACCTTGTTATCTCCGATTCTCCAGAATCGGCAGTTCCTACTACCCCTTTCTCCATGTTGCTTGTTACTTCCTTAAAAAAACTCCAAAAATTAGTAAGATATGATTTCCCTTTCACAAAGCCATGTTGAATCTACTTGACTGGAGGAAGAGTTTCTAGGTGCCCTGCTGTAATCTTCCCAGTAATAGATCAAAGCATTTTCTCTATGAAAGATGTTAGCTTAACAGTTTTTGCTTTCTGTCTCCATCCTTTCCTGAATAGAGGAGTCACATTCATCGCTTTTCACTCTGGGACCTTTCCAGGATTCATGGAAGTTTGGAATTAAAACCAATGCACCTATCATCTTAGCAATCCCTTCTTTTAACACTGAGGATAAAATCTATCAGGGCCAGGGAACTTGTCAGGTTTTAGTTCTAATAATTTTCTCAGAACCATTTCCACGATGATCTTTCCCCTTCTGATTCACAATTGTTTCTGGGATGTTATTTGCATCCTCTACAGTGAAGACAGACATAAAATATGTGTTCAATTCATCTGTCATTCCCCTACTTTCCATTATTAATTCCCAAATTTACTTTTTTAAAATACCTGTGGAAGCATTTAGTATGGTTTTATATTTCTAACTAGCTTTGTCTCCTACTCAAATTTGCCCTTCCTTGTTAACCTTTTAATCATTCTTTTCTGTTCTTTATCTTGTGACCTGTCATTCTTCTTTGCAGAATTATACCTCTTTTCTTTAAATTTGATGCTTATTTTAACTTCTTCATTTAGCTATGGATGGTGTATCCTCTCTTAAAATCTTCCTTTCACATTGGAATGTATCTTTAAGTGTTCTGAAATATTTCCATAAATGTCTGCCATTGTATCTCCAATGACGTATGCCTTAATATAGTTTTCCAAATCACTTTAGCTAGCTCTGAATTCATGTCAGATATCCTGAATCTCGGAACCAGCCAGACAACATTATAGCCTGACTCTCACTCTTGGGTGCAGAGACCTGCATCCATACCCCTGACTATGCTAACCCCTACTACCACTATACTCCTTTTAATTCTCCCATTTGAATGGCTTGCTGTGCCACAGTGCCCTTGTTAGTTTTCTCATCCATTTTACATCCATTGCTTTTATCTATTACAGACTACAGGAACCACAAAAATGTTCTGCAACTGCAAAGACTGAGGCTCCTCCATCTCCTGGTTCTCCATACCCATTTCACTCACAGTCACACCCTCTTATCCCAACAAGATCAGAAGGTGCTTTCCTAAAGCATATGCCTCCTGGAATAAAAAAAGTGTCCAGATAATTTTCCTTTGGTCTGTTGCATCAGAGTGCCTGTAGCTCAGTCTACAGCTCATAAACTCTGAGCTCAGACGCCTTGAGCTACATTCACCTCGTGCCGATGCTTGCCCTTGATCATACTGCTATCCAGGAACTCCCACATTTTGTAGTTGCAACACATCACCTGCCCTGCCATCTTTTATTGTCTGTATTCATTGTATTAATTTATTTATAATTAATAAATGCTACGACTCCCTAAGATGACACAAAAATAATAACAAAATCTTTTGCTTTATATGTCAAATTGAAATAAGGATTGAAAACTTTTTATACTAATATATTCAAAATATTTTATTGACTTCCAAGATTTTTCTAATGACAATCTAAGCATGTAATAGTGACAGCTTTATTATTGCAATCTCTATTCAGTTCTACCAAAGGTATCTGCCGTCGTGCTCCAGGGTGAGAGTGCTACTTAGAAAACTGAGGTCATTTTAAAATAGATGCATTTTTAATCTTTTTATCCAGCTTCTCCTTTGATTTGACCCACTGTGCAAACATCACAACTAAAATCAAATTGTATATTGTGATTCAGATCAGAATACTTTCTTGTGTTGTCTTCCTCTAATACTAGAACAGTCTTTTTTTTAAGTACACATGTCTCAACGAAACTGGTTCAAGTTATAAAACTGTAAAATTTCAAGCATTTGCAAAATCATTTACAAAGTTGCAGCCCAGCAGCAGTATACATTGGAAATTCAGAAACAACTTAGTTTGAACTAATTAGCATGAAATAATTTGCTGTAATTGGCCAATCCTCAGATATCCATGGTGGGTGTGGTTCAGCAAATACACAGTATCTGGTTGGAAAAATCCTTGTGCTGTTTGACAGGAACTATTCAATGAATTTGATGATATACTTTGATGTTAAAGCTCTTACTGTCTCCTTTAAATAAACACCAATACATGAATGTGAATGTCATATTCATCTACTTATCTTAAACATTTATCAGGGTCCTTAACTATCCCATCCACAAACCTTACTTTCTGTTGTGATTTTTGATTGCATTTTTGCAGCAACCTTTCCAAAGAAGTAAAGTCAAATAGATAGAGAAACAAAGTCTTTGTTCATCCAATGGCATTTATTTTAATGATTGCAATGAACTTTTAAAATAAACTGATTATTTAATTATCAGTTATCATCTGTATTATTAGTTTAAAAAATATAAAGTTTTATTAATTGTTGGCCCTAGAGACCAGAATTTAACATGAGTGAGGGGAGCCCCATCGACTGGTTGGAGAACTGGTGGAGGTTCTGCATTGTGTTTCTCTCGGAGGCTAATGATGCTAATCTAAGATGATTAAGTTTTTGTCTGTTCAGCATTGGGTCTCCTGTCAGAATGAGCCTCCAGTAAGGAGAGAGGTTTCGCCCCGAGAGTTGCCAGCTACTCCAATACCAGCTCCAGAAACACTACTACAATGTGTAGCCTTCAGCAGACATCACTGATGGATTTCTTTCAGAGTGTGGTTGGAATGGTGGTTGCAGGGACAGAGTGTTAGGGTCAGAAAAAGGGGATGGTTTCCTATGGAGCACACACCTTCCCAATGCTGAGTCCCTCAATCAGACACAAAATGCCTATGAATGAGAACCCCTACTCATTAGGTTGCTGGCAAAGCTGATTGGTTGAATGCCAGCGTTGGTGGGATGCTGACCTTAAGCAGTCCTTCAGTGGTTCCTGAAGGGCCTCGGCTGGCATCCAGACAAGAAAGCTGCCTACGAGCCTTCCCAGCTGAAAAGTTACAAAAACGTTGAACAATTTTGTCTAATGTCAAGGTCAAGGACCATCCAATGGATAATGAGTAGGTCATTTGTTTTCTAATTGCTGCAAGAAAGTGTCAGACAAGAAGGCTGGGAGACGGGTCATAAATGTGGGAACAGGGCAGTTGAAACATGAGGAATAAGTCCAACTAGAGTTGGCACCATTAGTGCATAGACGCACCATCAGCTGACCATTCTAGATGTGCCAGTTTGGTAAAAATGTCCCAGAACATTTGAAATGTGATAACTACACTTCCTCTACACATCAGAATTTTTATAAATATATCTTTGGAACAGGTGACCTGCTTCACTTACTGAAACAGTGCAGTAAAAGTGGCCTGCACATCCAACAGTCATCATGCACTGTAGCAAAGCAATGGATGTATGGTAGATGGAAGTGCCATGTCTTTGCAGGGGGACAATGATTGGCCATCGGGAGTGTTTAGAGGTCATGAGGTGGACTGGATGGAGCAGTGTGTGGAGGTGAGATCTGCAGGGCTTTTTTTTTGTAAAGCTGGGACAAAGACCCTAGCACTGAGGTCGGACTTTACAACAGCCCGCCACTTCATCCACTGATGCCCATGGCTGCATATGACCTTTCTCTGGATTAGCTGGCACCTTACCTACCCCCACCCTGTCAATTAAGTTCCTACTTCCCAAGAGGGCACACAAACATGGGAATTTTCCTGACTTGCTCTACCCTCAAGGATGAAAATCCAGCTCAATACTTTTAATATTCATATGCTTTAACAGTGAGGCTGTTTATTTTTAAGCCTCCAATTGAAGTGTTGTGTTCTCTGAAGTGTCAGTGTTTCTCATATTTTTAGGGTTTAATTGGGCCTAAAGGAGAATCCGGAGTCCCAGGAATTCCAGGACAGAAAGGTGAAAAAGGAGAAATCGGTTTCTCTGGTCCACCTGTAAGTGTCTATCTAAAACCTCTCATTTCTTAAAGATGATAGTATATTCTGATAAGTAAATAACAATAAAAAAAGGCTATGAAGACATCCAGTGAAGCATACAATTTGGCAATAACTCCAGCTCTAATAGTTTTTTGTCCGCTTCTGTAAGTCCACCTTTTCTTCTCCTATCTCAAATATACTGAGCCTTAAGGAGCATCATTCCTAACTTCACTACAAATCAGGTTGTCTGGTTACCACTTCATTGTTTTTTGTGGGGCCTTGTTTCATCCAAACTGTATGCTGCATCTCCTACTGTACAACAGTGACTGTACTTCAGAAGTACATTTGGAGTAAAGCAGCTTGGAATATTCTGAAGTCAGGAAATATATAAATAGCCGTCCTTTTCTTCAGAGCCACAGCTGACTGGAGCCTTTATAACAGGGACACAATGTCAATTGCAATCACTGCAAGACTAACTATCATCACTTGTGGCTCTCTCAATCTGGTGAGAGGCAGATTTTGTCAAAGCAAAGCTACAACTACCTCTGTCTATTCCTAAACTCAACTACCTGCTTTATGATGGCAAACACACACTGATAAATTGAACAAAAGATCTTGTAACTGAGACTGGATCCTGAATCACAACCTCTATGGCAATATGACATGCTTTTGGGTGATTCAACCAGTGCTATGTCTTTGTCATAAACCATATAATTACTTCATCCTGCTCATGGAGATTATAATTTATTCTCCAAACTGCCTGACTCCATTGCAAGCTTAGAGACCGCTGTTGGGATTGCAAGACAAACACGCTTACCGGTGAAGTGGAACAAATTCCAAGCTTGTTTCAATTGCATTCACTACAGGGTTGCTTATCAGTTTATCAATCTGATACCCCCATTTGTCTACAATAAAAATGTAGCCATGAATGAGGTGAGCAATGGTAAATCAATTGAGAAAATATGGCGACATTGGAAAGTCAAGATTCTCAACAGCGACAAATAAAAAGTCAAATTTTCCACTTGAGGTTTGAACAGTGAGATGCAGAAGTCTATTTGCAAACCAACACCAAACATTGCAATGGTGCTGCCAGGTCTCTGTGCACAAGCAAAAGCACCCATCTCATGCATTGAAATTAAAAACAGAAACTGCTAGAGAAACTCAACAGGTCCGGCAGCAACCATGCGGTGAGAAACAGAGTTGATATTTCAAGATTCTTCTTTGGAACTTAAGGTAGCTAGAAAATAATGTTTTTTTTAATGCTGTTGACAAAGGAAGAGGAGGAAGAGGAACTGATGGTGGGGATGGCCAGAGTGAAAGATAAAAAGAGGGCTAATGGTAGTAAAGGAGAGATAGAAATGTAAAGTATGTGTTAATGATAGATGTGAACAGCAAAAAATAGATCCTCTCTATTGGGAGTAAAACCATGTCATCAAGAAGTGATGGTGGTGGAGGGAAAGGGGGTCTAATCAAAGTTCAGAACAGTGTTCATGTTCTGAAGTTTTTGAACTCAGTGTTAAGTCCTGAAGACAGTAAGGATTGCAGATGCTGCAAACCAGAGTCAATAGATATGAAGCTGGAAAAGCACAGCAGGTCAAACAGCATCCGAGGAGCAGGAAAGTCAACGTTTCGGGCCGAAACCCTTTGTCAGGATTGGGGAGGGGGAGGGGAGCCTAGGTGTGTTGCTAGGGGAAGGGTAGATGAGATGCTGATAGGTAGATATAGGTAGGGGGCTATTGTGATTGGTCAGTGGGAAGGGTGGAGTGGATAGGTGAGCAGGAAGATGGACAGTTTAGGTCAGGTCAGGGAGGTGAGGAGGAGGGGGTGAGCTGGACATGGAATAAAGCTGGGAGTGGAGGGATTTTGAAGCTGGTGACATCAATATTGAGGCCATTGGGCTGTAAGCTCCCAAGGCGAAATATCAGGTGTCGTTCCTCCAGTTTACGTTTGGCCTCACTCTAATAGTGGAGGAGGCCAAGGATGGACATATCACCAGGAGAGTGGAAGTGGGAATTAAAATGGATGGCAACCGGAAGGTCAGGTTGGTTGGTTGGTGCATGCAAAGCGCAGATGCTCCGTGAACCTGTCCTTGAATCTGCGTTTGGTCTCCCTGATATAGAGGAGACGATATTGGGAGCAATGGATACAATAGATAAGGTTGGATGAAGCGCAGATAAATCTCTGCCAGATTTGGAAGGATTGTTTGGGGCCTTGGACAGAGGTGAGAGGGGAGTTAAGGGCAGGTGTTGCACTTCTTGCAGTTGCAGGGAAAGGTACCGGGAGGGGTGGAGAAGTTGGTGGGGTATGTAGAGCTAACAAGGGAGTTGCAGAATGAATGGTCCCTGTGACCAACGTTGAAGACCATGTGACTGCTGACATCACTGACGACCGGGATAAATCCACTTCTGCCCACATGACCGCTCCAGCGCGCACACACTCCAGATGAAGTCTCCGCCCCCACTCCTGGTCCCAGCTCTACACTCAGCCCCAACCCCAAGCCCTGCCGGGTATTCACCACCCCCCTCATCTCCCCCTCATGGAGGCTGAATGATCAGTCCTCAGCAAAGGGCTCATTCCTCTGCACCCACATGCAAACAAATTCCGTGCACGCCATGATGTCGAGCTCTTCTTTCGCTGCATCCGCCTCGATGCCTATTTCTTTGAACGGGAATCCAACCCACCCTCTAACGATCCCTTCTCCCCTCTCCCCTCCAGCAAACTTCATCCTCCTGGATACCTCCTCCCACCCTCCTACCCTCCCTCGACTCCTTCATCTCAAACTGTTGCCATGACATCTATCACTTGGATCTCTCCACCCCTCTCACCTACTCCAACCTCTCCCCGTCGGAACGTGCAGCTCTCCGTTCCCTTTGCTCCAATCCCATCCTCACTATTAAACCTGTTGGAAAAGGGGGACATGGTGATAGTATGGCAAACTGACCTCTACATCGCTGAGGCCAGATGCCAACTCTTTGACACCTCCTCCTACCATCCCTTCGATCATGGCTCCACCTCTGATCACCAAGCCATCATCTCCCAGACCATCAACAACCTCATCACTTTGGGAGATCTCCCATCCACAGCCTCCACCCTGATAGTTCCCCAAACCCACACCACCCATTTCTATCTCCTTCTCAAAATCCATAAACCCGACTGCCCTGGTCGACCCATTGTCTCTGCCTGCTCCTGCCCCACTGAGCTCATCTCCTCCAACTTCGACTCCGTTCATTCCCCTTCGGCCCAGGAACTCCTCACCTGCATTCATGACACAACCCGTGTCCTCCACCTTTTCCAAAACTTTCAATTCCCTGGCCCCCAACACCTCATCTTCACCATGGACCTGCAGTCCCTGTACACCTGTATCCCCCATATAGAGGGACCAAAAGCCCTCCGCTTCTTCCTCTCCCGTAGGCCCAACCAGTCCCCCTCCACTGACACTCTCATTCACTTGGTCCTCACCCTCAACAACTTTTCCTCTGATTCCTCCCACTTCCTACGAACCAAAGGGGTGGCCATGGGTACCCGCATGAGCCCAAACTATGCCTGCCTGTTTGTAGGATTCATGGAACAATCCCTCTTCCACACCGGTACCATCCCTCACCTCTTTCTGCACTATATTGATGACTGTATTGATGCTGTCTCATGCTTGCATGAGGAGCTCGAGCAGTTTATCAACTTCACCAACACATTCCACCCCACCCTCAAATTCAGCTGAACCATTTCTGACACCTCCCTCCCCTTCCTGGGTTCTCCATCTCCACCTCCAGAAACCGACTCACCACTGACATCCATTTCAAGCCCCCTGACTCTCACAACTACCTCGACTACACCTCCTCTCACCCACCCTCCTGCAAAAATGCTATCCCATACTCCCAATTCGTCTGCGGTATCTGGTCCCAGGATGAGGTGTTTTACTCCAGGACATCTCAGATATCCTACTTTAGGGGCCATAATTTCCCCTCCTCTGTAATTAAGGATAACCTCAATCACATCTCCTCCATTTCCCACACTTCTGCCCTCAAACCCCCTCCCCACAACAACAATAAGGATGGAATCCCCTTAGTCCTCTCATACCAAACCCCAACCTCCAAATCCAAAGTATTATCCTCCAACTTTCCCACCACCTATTTTCAGACCCAACCGCCAAAAAGATATTTCCCTCCCCATCCCTCTCCGCTTTCCACAGGGACCATTCATTCTGCGACTCCCTCATCAGCTCTACACACCCCACCAACTTCTCCACCATACCCAGTACCTTTCTCTGTGACCGCAAGAGGTGCAACACCTGCCCCAACACCGCCCCCTCTCACTTCCATCCAAGGCCCTCAACAATCCTTCCAGATCGGGCAGAAATTCACCTGCACTTCATCGAACCTGATCTATTGTAGCCATGATAACAAGGTGTAGAGCTGGATGAACACAGCAGGCCAAGCAGCATCAGAGGAGCAGGAAGGCTGACGTTTTGGGCCTAGACCCTTCTTCAGAAATGGGGGAGGGGAAGGGGGTTCTGAAATAAATAGGGAGAGAGGGGGAGGTGGATAGAGGAGAAGATAGGTGGAGAGGAGACAGACAGGTCAAAGAGGCAGGGATGGAGCCAGTAAAGGTGAGTGTAGGTGGGGAGGTAGGGAGGAGATAGGTCAGTCCAGGGAGGACCAGACAGGTCAAGGGGGTGGGATGGGGCTAGTAGGTAGGAGGGGATAGGTGGGAGGAAGGATAGGTTAAGGAGGCGGGGACGAGCTGGGCTGGTTTTGGGATGCGATGGAGAGGGGGGAGATTTTGAAGCTTGTGAAGTCCACATTGATACCATTGGGCTGCAGGGTTCCCAAGCGGAATATGAGTTGCTGTTCCTGCAACCTTCGCGTGGCATTGTTGTGGCACTGTAGGAGGCCCAGGATGGACATGTCGTCTGCGGAATGGGAGGGGGAGTTGAAATGGCTCGCGACTGGGAGGTGCAGTTGTTTAGTGTGAACCGAGTGTAGCTGTTCTGCAAAGCGATCACCAAGCCTCCGCTTGGTTTCCCTGATGTAGAGGAGGCCACAACGGGAACAGCGGATACAGTATACCACATTAGCAGATGTGCAGGTGAACATCTGCTTGATGTGGAAAGTCTCCTTGGGGCCTGGGATGGGGGTGAGGGGGGAGGTGTAGGGGCAGGTGTAGTACTTCCTGCGGTTGCAAGGAAAAATGCCGGGTGTGGTGGGGCTAGAGAGGAGTGTGGAGCGGACAAGGGAGTCCCGGAGAGAGTGGTCCCTCCGGAAAGCAGATAAGGGTGGGGAGGAAAAAATGTCTTTGGTGGTGGGGTCGGATTGCAGATGGCGGAAGTGTTGGTGGATGATGTGTTGGATCCGGAGGTTGGTGGGGTGGTACGCGAGGACGAGGGGGATTCTGTTTTGGTTGTTATTGTGGGGAGGGGGTGTGAGGGATGAGTTGGGGGAAATGCGGGAGACACGGTCGAGGGTGTTCTCGAACACTGACGGGGGGAAGTTGCGGTCCTTGAAAAACGAGGACATCTGAGATGTTCGGGAGTAGAATGCCTCATCCTGGGAGCAGATGCGGCGGAGGCGAAGGAATTGGGAATAGGGGATGGCATTTTTGCAGGAAGGTGGGTGGGAGGAGGAGTATTCTAGGTAGCTGTGGGAGTCGGTGGGCTTGAAATGGATATCGGTTTCTAGGTGGTTGCCAGAGATGGAAACAGAGAGGTCCAGGAAGGAGAGAGAGGTATCAGAGATGGTCCAGGTGAACTTAAGGTTGGGGTGGAAGGTGTTGGTGAAGTGGATGAACTGTTCGAGCTCCTCGTGGGAGCACGAGGCAGCGCCGATACAGTCATCAATGTAACGGAGGAAGAGATGGGGTTTGGGGCCAGTGTAACTACGGATTGTATCCTCTATATCGGGGAGACCAAATGCAGATTCGGGGACCAGTTTGTGGAGGATCTGCACTCTGCACACACCAACCAACCTGATCTTCCGGTTTTCATCCATTTTAATTCCCCCTCCCACTCCCCTGGTGACATGTCCATCCTTGGTCTCCTCCGCTGTCAGAGTGAGGCCAAATGTAAACTGGAAGAACGACATCTGATATTTCGCCTTGGGAGCTTACAGCCCAATGGCCTCAATATTGACTTCACCAGCTTCAAAATCCCTCCACTCCCAGCTTTATGCCATGTTCAGCCCTCCGCCTACTCCTCGTCTCCATGACCTGACCTGTCCATCTTCCTACTCACCTATCCGCTCCACCCTTCCCACTGACCAATCACAATAACCCCCTACCTACATCTACCTATCACCCACCCCACCTAAGTTTATCTCCCTCCCTCTATTTACTTCTGGGCTCCCCTCCCCAGCCCTGACAAAGGGTTTCAGCTCGAAACGTTGACTTTCCTGCTCCTTGGATGCTATCTGACCTGCTGTGCTTTTCCAGCTTCACATTTGTTGACTTTAAGTGCTGAAGGCTGTAAACTGTGTAAGTAGAAAATGAGGTGCTGTTCTCCAGCTTGCATTAGGTTTCTCTGCAGCGTTATGAAAGGATGGACATGCACGAGAGAAAGGTGGTTTACTGAAATGGCAAGCAGCTGTAAGGTTAAAGTTCATTCTTGTGGACAGAATGGAGGTGTTCGGCAAAACAGTCACCTAGTCCAAATTTAGTCTCATCAATGCAAAGGAAACCAAATTGTGAACAGTAGACCATATTGAAAGAAATACAAGTAAATCACTGCTTCACCTGTGTCTAGGAAAATGAGGAAGGAGGAGGTAAAAGGGCAAGTGTTACCCTATGATTGCATGGGAAGGGAGGATTTGTTTGGGGATGGCTCCTGCTGGAGGCAGTGGAAATGGCAGGTGATGATCTTTTTGACGTGAAGACTGGTGAGGTGGGAAGCAAGGACTAGAGTAAATCCTATCTTTGTTCTGGGAAGGAAGGGAAGGTTGGGAATAGAGCTAGACTTGGCTGAGGGCTCTGTCAACCGTGGTGGTGGGAGAATGCTAGTTCAGCAAAAGGAACACATGTCAGAGCAGCCCTGTGGAAGGTGGCATCGTCACAACAGATGTGATGGAGACTGAGAAAGAGAGAATTTAATGAAGTCCTTGCAAGGAAGCAGAGTGTGAGGGAGTGTAGTTAAGGTAACTCTGGGTTTGTAAATGATATTGGTAGAGACCTTATCCCCAGAGAAGACAAGGAAAGCAAGAGAAAAGTCAGGGATGGAATCATCACTCATCATCAAAGAAGGTGAGGGAGGAGTGATGATGAGAAGTGAAATTGATGCAGCAGAGCAGGGTGTATCTCTCAGCTCCTCACTAACTCTCTTTCTACCTGCTTGGATGCTCACAGCACTTCTCCTTGTCTTTTTGCACTTTACTGCCTCATTCAGAACTTCACTTTCACCACCAACCTGGCTGTGATGAGGGGGGTCAGTGTGTAACTATGTTTTGCATAACTAAGCCGTGTGCCTAGAGTTCAAGTGGTAAAGGGGAAATGAGCAATGTTCCATCTGCGACCTCAAAGTCACCAGGAGGCTCCATGCATTGTGGCAATGCATTTCTTCCACTTGGAATCCACTGCTGCACATCTGAATCAGGGCAACAATGTGCAAAAGGCGCATGTAGAGGCATCACATTGGCCTTCTTGTTAGGCCCAATGTCTGAGGACACTGTTCAAATGGCATTTGTGTTTGCTGTGACTGCTGAATGATCCCAAAACTGAGGGGCTGCCTTGTTTCTGATATTGCCCACGCAGGCTTATTGGAACTATCCCCAGTGGACCTTAGATGACCACAAAACAGGAAGAAAAATTAGAGGAAACACTGGAGATGAGCAGTTAAATAAGCCAGTTGGGTGGGAATGTGGGGAAGATCACTCCAATGGGGCTGACATGGAAGACAAGGCAGAAACAATCATGTAGGTTTGAGGGTTCACCCAGACCGAGAGGCTGATCCTGCAACTCTCTCCACAAAGCACGACTTGTGTTTCCTTCCAACTTCATCCAATTCAGAAATAAAAAGTGGTTGTTGAGGGGTGGAGTAGGTGTTTTCTTTCCCTGAGGGACCAGGCTTTACTTTTGTGTGATATGAGGTCCTTCAAGGGGCATTAGCATAAAACAGGCACTCCCACAGTACAGGTTAAAAGCATGTGTTAATGCATAATTGTGCACATGGACTTGAATCTTTTTTAAGCTTTTCCGCTTTTCCTGTTGTTTAATAAAAATAAGATTACAAAATGATAGAAATCTTCACAACATCTGATACTCCCTCATTCAATTATGACAAAGTTTAGGGTTAATATGGGTACTCTGAGAAGGATAACTATTGCTCAGCTAGAGTTGGAACATCATGTACCACTAAGCACGACTAGCTTCTACCTTCACTCATGTAGGTGCAACTAAAATGAATTCACTCACGTTGCAAAGGATGAAAACTGAACATTTATTTATAAATGTGATACTGTATTTACAATCAAATTTCACTAATGCCACCAGTGTGGCCTCACAAGTTTTTATTTTTCCGTTCCTCTTTGTCGAGGTGCAGTCCTGGGGTTTTTTGCTGGGTTGGAGAGAGCCTGTCCTGTAGTGGAGCCTGTTGGCTCAGAGTTTTGTTTGGATAACCCTAAGGTGTTTGTGGCTATCAGGCACCTAACTTACTGTGTGTCCTGCCCAGATGTATGTTCACCCTCCTCAGCCTGAACTTCTGCAGGGTTGAGGTTGACAGTTGTGTGTGGAGTGAGTGTGTTGGATCTGGGTCTCCATAGTCACTGCTAACCCAACCATGGATGCAGCAAAGTGTTTGCTTGTCGGAGGTAAGACAGTGCAGATAATGTTAGTGGACTCCTCTAACCTTGGATTCAGTTTTCTGAGTGCCTCTGACAACCTGCCTTCTGCTCCTGTACCTGCTTGTGCAGTTGAATTAATTTCTCGACGGCCAACACCATAGAGTCTTCCCCTGCCTGTGACTGAACACGTTTTGTAAAGTCTTTACACACCATAATATTTTGCGCTAGATGCTTACTTAAAGTTGCACTTTGGACTCCCAAAGACAATTGTTGTGTCCAATGTGGAGATGGTGAACATGGTAAAGTTTCTGTCCCTGATTCTATCCAACTACCATTACTACAAAATCCAAGTGAATGGTCATAGGGCTGGGAATTTGACTGAGCTTCAATGTTTAAATAACCTATGAGCACACACATGAATGGGACCAACTGGATGAAGTACCAAAGTACCAAAGTATGAGTCAGCAACTACAGGAGAGAAGAGCAAGCATTTAAAGGAATATTACATTTTATAGCATTAAATCCAGGAGTATGCTGTGTAATTTATTCTTTTCTAACTTAATGGAATTATTGCATATTTATATAAATGTGTTCTGAAATTATAGAAACGGGAAGACTCAACACAACAATTGCTTGGAGGACAGGGCATAATTTGCAATAGGATCCACCAGATTTCTGTCAATCTAATCTTTGTTTAACTTCCTTTGAGACCCAATACTCTGCCACATCTGGTGGTGTCCAGGGAATTGCTGAGCTAATTGCATCCTCAGTAAGCATGGTAGAACTCCTGTTGTCTGAAATTAGCATCAGTTCTGTAATGGGTCAACCAAAGACTTATCGGAGCACTTTTTCATGGTTTTGCCTTTCACCCTTTAAATGAGCTTTGGATCTACCATGGGAGCAGCATGGCGCTGTTCAGTTTATATCTCCAAAGTGGGCAAACCATACAACTATGCCAGTGGTGAGGCTTCTAGAATTTCAAAATCATGGCATCTGTGATAAATCATTAGAACTAATTCTGCTTTATCCTTAGGGTGAACCAGGATTGAATGGCAGTAAAGGTGAAAAGGGTGATGGCAGTAGAAAAGGTGATAGAGGTTTACCTGGCATACAGGTATGTGAACAAATGCCATGTCTTTAATCAAAGTAAAACACAGAGTTTTATCTGACTGTAGCTTCACCAATTGTAATTTTCGATTCAGCATTTTCAATGAAGAGGTTAGATGTAGAAAATAACTGATTTGCTGCTGAAATATCAGCAAGTTAGATTCTCATGGACAGATGAGTTGGGGGCATGTGGGAAGTTAAAATTGTAACAGTTCCATAAACCAACTGCAATGTAAGCACCTCTGGATCTAATGGAGGTATATTTTGCTGCGTGCAAGCCTGCTGACTGGACAAGGTTCGATAACTATGTTACGCTATTGAAGGAAGTGAGAGTGGAAAATGCAGGAGCACTAGCTATAATATTTCAGACTTCCCTTGACTCACAGGAGCTGCCACACAACTGGAGAATTCCAAATAACATGCCCGTCTTCAAATCCCAGCACTTATAGACCAATCAGTTTAACTTCAGTGATGGGGAAAGCTTCGAAAAATAATTATTGGGGATAGAAATGGTAGTCACGTGAGAAAGGCGACTAATGGGAATTGTGTTTAACTGATTTGTTGTAGATTTTTGAAGAGGTAACAGGCTGCATAAGGTTGACGCTGTTGATGCAGTGTACACAGACTTCCAGAGGACATTTGACACAGTTCCATACAGCAGACTTGTGAGAAAAGTTATGACTCATGAAATAAAAGGGATGGTAGCAACTGAATCCAAAATTAGCTGACTAATCGGAAACCGGCAATAATGGTCAGTGGATATTTTTCAGGCTGGAGGAAGGTTTGGAATGGAATTTATTTGAATAAAAGCAAAATACTGTGGAAGCTAGAATTTTGAGGCAAACACAGAGAATATCGGTGAAACTCAACAGGTCAAACCATGTGGAGTAAGGAAATGTTAGGAATGATGAGTGGACCGGGTGTCACGGAGGGAACAGTCCCTATGGAATTCTGACAGTGGAGGGGAAGGAAAGATGTGTTTGGTGATGCCATCCTGCTGGAGGTGGTGGAAATAGGATGATCCTTTGAATGCAGAGACTAACGGGGTGGAAAGAAAGGACAAGGGGAATCCTATCATTGTTCTGGAAGGAGGGGACAGGGTGAGGGCAGAAATGTAGGAGATGGATTGGACACAATAAAAGGCCCTGTCAATCAATTAGGGGAAACTCCTTGTTTGAGGAAAAATGAGGTCGCATCAGAGGCAGAAAAATAGTTGCAACAGACAGAGAAACTGGGAGAATGGGAGGATTCCATTCCATTAACATCTTTTTAAAAATTTCATACTCGCTCAGTCTATCAAATGAATCAATTTTCACAATCTCTTAAACATGAGTCCTCAAAAATTATAATGGAAGAGCCTTCAAAATGATATCCTCCCCCCACCCCCTCCAATGACCTGCAGTGTATTGACAGTTATTGTGATGTATCTGAAAGGGAAAGTTAGCCTGTGGAACATAAGAATGGAAAGCTGCAGAAGTTGTGTAGATTATTACACATTGTGTGCCATTAGAGAGCAGGGATACTTAATGGCATGGCATCTTGTCGAACATCCATGTATATACCCTTTGTGAATTATATTCGCTTTCTCCTCTGCTTCCTACTGCTTCTAGTTATGTACCTCTTGTGGCCTCAGCAGAGATTGAGATAGCCTACACTGACTGCTAGGACAAGTTTTGACCTGTGACCTTTGGGCTTTCAGCCAGCACTGCATTACTCCACTGGGGAGCAGTTTGTGAAGATCACAAATTAGAAGGCCACTGATAGATCGGATGTTATTCGGATTAAGATGGCAGACATCTCCTGCATGGCTGTAGTCATGTGTTGCATAGGCTCATTTGAGATCTATGCTTGAAGCTCTCAGGGGACATCACAGTACTGTTGTCGTTGTACTCCCCTGATCTCGTTCGTACCGTGGAGAGTGAGTGTGGCATTTCTGTCAGTAGGTCTCAAGTTAATGCAATAACTTTGGGGGCCATTGTTGAGAAGAATTACAATATTCAGCATCTGTGTACAGCTGACCAGAGTTTGGAGAGGATTGCACCCCTCAGGGGTAGAAACTCCTGTAACATATTTTAACCCAGCCTTAACTTATGTGCTGAAAGTCTGTTCTACCTTTTGTCTCTCAAGGAAACCTTTCAGCAGTATTGATCCAGTTATTTCTGGTCACAGACCCACTAAATGGTCCCTGTTTTATTTCTCATCGAATTTCTCTTTGTCAGTGCCACATAATTGCAAAATCTACTAAGCGCATCACTGAATTATAAATAATTATATTTAAACCTGATTTATGTGAACTAAATTTGTGCAAATTTCAAACTGGTTTTAAGTTCTTAAAAAGATCACTGACTCAGAAGGAGTATTATTGGGGGGAGAAGATGTACTATGGTGAGCTCTTGTATTCCTGCCCCTTCTGTGTCACTATACATAAGTGATGTTGTCAGGATAATAGAGCTATGTTCCAAGACTCTTCAATTTTATCAGCTGTTGACAGGAACATTAAAGAAGAGAATGGACACCTTCTAGTATTCCTCCAATTGTCTCTCTCCACTTTTGAGCATTGATGATGCCTTCCATCTGCTGGCACTCCATTGCAATACCCAATCCTTCCTTTGTTCAATTTGCACATATGTAGCTGTATATATTTATATACACACACATGCACACACCCTCACATCAACACATTCTCACACCTACTCTCACATGTACACCAGACACACACACACACACACACACATACACAGAGTCTCTCGCATATCCGTAACACACACTCTCACATGTATACCACAAACACACAGTCTCACAACACATCCACATACTCTCATATATACCACACACACATTCTTACAGACACACTACACACACTCATGTGCACACAATCTTTCTTCACACTTGCACATACACCACATGTACACTTTCTCATGTATGTGCATTCTCTCCCGCAGACAGACACACTGCACACAGTTCACACATACACATCACACATACCCCACCCACTGACTTTCCATAGGTGTTGTCAGATAGCGATGTGGCTGGGAATTGTATCCGATTTTTTTCCCTTCCCAACCGTTGTTAGTGAAATATCTATACTGTTACCATTCTGCTGAGTGAAACTCAGTCCAAGCCAAGGGTCGAATACCTGACCTTTCACATCTGCTATTGTTATTTTCCCCATTTGGTGGAACAGACCAATCAATTGAGGGGGACCCGTCCAGTTTTTATTTCACTGATTTTAATTTGCTATCCAAATTATGAAAATGAAAACTTATCCATTTATATCTTGGTTACTCACTACCTTAACCACTTGAGGAAATTAGGAAGCTGCTGTTGGTCATCATATGTCCAAGACTTAATGCAAGTATGAACACAAATCAGCAAAGTAAATGGAAACTAATTCCAAACCATACAAATTGGTTAATATTATGCCATCTCTTCTTTTATAGGGAAATCCTGGTTCCATGGGTCTTATAGGTCTACCTGGTCAAAAGGGAGAAAAGGTAAGAATCTCAGATTTGTAATAATACAAATGAAGGCCATTTGGCCTGTCTTTGGCACCCTGAATGATTAATTCAGCAAGTGTCATTTTCCTGCCTCATCTCAGTAACTCTGCACATTCTTCCTTTCAGACAGTAATCCAGTTACCTCTTGTATACATCAATTGAGCCTCCACCACAGCCTTGGACAGTACATTCCCAGCTTTTCACTGTTTCTCCTCATGCCTCCATTGCTTTTTTTGGCAATTGCCTTAAATTGATGCCTTCTCCTCCATGATCTTTCTGCAGTGGGAACAGTTTCTGCACACATGCCTGCTGGCAACCTACCAGCAGGGATTCTAAACAACTGCTAAATGAAGCCTCAAATATGCAGTTTGGCTGCCCTCTGCCCGTACGCCTACCCACCTCAACACTCAACTCCCCATTGGGGTTTCATATCAGCGGATTTCCTCTAACACATGAATGCTTTACATTCTGGCTCTTCCTTTAGTTTTGGTATTAGCTGTGATGTATGTGGAAGCAATGCATTATTTTAAAACAAGTTTTTGAGACAAAAGTTCCAAGTTCAGATTTAGTTTAGCAAAATTTAGTAACTGTTTTCCTTCCTGTTCCTTACATAGGGTAAACCTGGTGAATCGGGGTTAGATGTGAGTACCTTTTGATTAAATGTTTAAAATGCATTTTTAAATTAAAAAGTGAAATTATTAATTCGGTAGATGCTAGACAAAGAAAGTGAATCAGCTCAAATTCATGATCATTAAGGAAGGGAGTGGCAACTGAGGCTCGGCTAAGTAGTCTGTTTTAACTAGTGCTGATCTTGGGCAATCTCTGCTGACACACACTAAAAGCTGGCCTCAGTGGAACACACATGGATGTGAGAAGGTCACAAGTATGTGGACTTTCAGCCTGAGGCTTCCTGTTCTTACAGCCCACTATCCCTCACTTCCCTCTGTCTCTCATTACCCTTATCCTTTCCCACTCTCTCTCCTTCCTCCTTGCTGCCTCAATCTTTCTCAAACTGTAGTGATTGGGTCCAGGTGGACCTCATCGACTATAAGGTTCTTAATTGGGGTTGTCAACCTGGGCAAATCAGGAAAACTTTCGCTGACCAATATAACCAAGAGATTAGAATCTCCTCAGTTGAGGACTGACTCCAAGCTGGCTGGCTGCAACCAGTGTCCTGTGTACTAGTAAATAAAGGGTGACTTGGTGATGGGACCCAGCCTCTGTGCAGTGATTTTAGTGATGACGGGAGAAAACAGTATGTGCCTGAAGAACATTCGCTTGTAACATTCATCTTGGAGTTGGGGTAAGCATTTCCGGCATCATGCCTGTATTTGGGAGGTTGATTCATTTGTTTCTTCTGTCGAAGACTGGGTAAAGTATGTGGAAAGATTGCAATACTTTTTCCGGGCAGATGAAAAGGAACGAGTAATCCTTCTGACTGCATGTGGACCCACAGCATTTTCAATTATAAGGGGCTTAACTTTCCCAGAGGCACCAAACACTAAAACCTTACAAGAGCTGACAGAGTTGATTATGGAATATTGCGACCCCAAACCTCCTCTAATCCTGAGATGCTATTGGTTTTATTTAGCTATTAGAGAACCAGGAGAATCCGTATTGGGTATTTTGATGAGGTTATGATGACTGGCAGAGGCATGTGATTTTAGGTTAACCATGAATGAGATGCTGAGGGACCATTTGGAATGTGGGATAAATGATGTCACCAGAAGCGCCTACTAGCTGAAGCCCACTTGGACTTCAAATAGACACTACAGCTGGCCTTGTCATTAGGAAATGTGGCAAGTGAGCACAGGAGCTACAGGACATCCCAATGGAAGTGGACATCCTCACCTGATGTCTGAGATTGGGAAACACCTTGTAAGTGTAGGTAATCACAGAGCCTCAGACAGGGCATTTCCTGAGCAGAGGGACCCTAGGCCAACCCACAGCAGAACCCCACAGCAAATCCAAGCCTCAGACAAGTGGCTAAAAAGTTCTTAAGGATCTGGACCATTAAGCCATTGTAGTTGCTGACAGTATATGGACTAGAGACAGCAAAGGAGTCCTACAAGACCTGACGTGAGTAGGAAAACTCATAGACTGGAACCCAGGAGAGTGCACCCCTTGGAAAGTTTCCCTACATGTGGGTTGGAACAATTAAATTGTTTAGTGACATCCAAATCGGAGCCAATTAAAATTAATGTTTGGTTAAATGGTCATGCAGTCCCCTGGAGGTTGATACCAGCGCAACTGTATCTGTGTTTGCAGAATCTGTCTTTAACAAGATTCACTCAGAACTCCAACCTTCAAGTTTGTGCAAGACCTCAGCCAGACTGAGAACGTACACTGGGGAACAGTTGCAAATTAAGAGTACAACGTCGGTTCCAGTTGCCTGTGAGAAGCAGTTAGTGCAGTTACCACTGATGGTAGTAAAAGGCTCAGGCCCAAGTATATTGGGGCAGAATTGATTGAGAAAGATTCACCTGGATTGGCTCAACATTTTTTGATTGGAAAATGGCTGCTTTAGTGAAGTCCTAGTGAAATACCCAGGAGATTTTCAAGAAGGGCTTGGGACTATCAATGGGGCCAAAGCCACTTTACATGTTGAGCAGGACACAATTCTGAGATTTTGCAAGGCCTGCCCGGTGCCATTTGCCTTGTGGACAAAAGTAGAGGCGGAAATTGGGAGGCTGGAGAGTGAAGGAATCTACAAACCAGTGCGGTTTGCAGAATGGGCAGCACCGGTCGTACCAATTGTGAAACCTGATATTTCCAGATCTGGTGGGGGTGGGGTGAAATGGCAGCAGGAATGCCAATGCCAGCCAAACGCCTCCCCTAAGTGAGAGAGACAATTTAATTCAGGAGATGAAGTTTGGTTCCAGAACCATGGAAATGGCCCTGAACGGGTACAAGGCAAGGTTGACATGAGGTCAGGTCCTGTTACTTTCCTGAACAAACACGTGGATCACCTAAAAAGCCATTGCCTCACAAATGGAGCAGAGGCAAAACATATCTCGCCCCTTAGAACAGCCAGAAGGCCCAGCAGAAATCGTAAGTATTCCCCCTCCGTCCAGTGTTGAGGAAACCTCAGAGTCTGAATTGAATGCAGCCCTGATACTGTTACCACTGGAAGAAGAGAAGGAAACTCTCCTGAGATGTTTCAGGTGCAAGAGATAGGCCACGGTTCAGTACACGCTGACTGTGTCTGAGGTGGAGGAACCAAACCCAGGGTGAAACATCACAAGAGAGGGTACAAGTGAAAGGCCAGGTCACCATCCCTGGATGTAGATGGGGAGGGATCTAGTGATTGGGACCAGGTGGACTTCATTGACTACAAGGTTCCTGATTGAGGTTGTTAACCTGGGCCAATCCGGAAAACCTTGATATAACCCGGAGATTAGAATCTCCTCAGTTGAGGCGACTGACTCTGAGCTGGCTGGCGACAGTGGTACTGTGTACTAGTAAAATATACAGTGACTTGGCGACGGGAAACCAGTCTCTGTGCAGTTATTTCACCGTGCCCTCTGCTTTTAGACTCCCTCGCAGGAAGAAATAGTTTCCTGGCATCTACTGTATCAAACCCAGTCAGAATCAGATATGTTTCAATAAGATCACCTCTCATTCCTCAACTCCAATGAGCATAGGCACAATCTTCTCAACCTTTCCTTGTAAGACAAACTTCTTATCTCATGAATCAGATGAATGAACCTTGTCTGAAATATTTCCAATACAAGAACATCCCATCTGAATTAACAAGACTGATAGTATACACAGTCATTCATGGGCAATCTCACCTATTTCTTGTACAGTCGCAGCATGACTTCTGTTTTTATACTCTAGCCCCCTTGAGAGAAAAAAAACATAACCAGGAGATTAGAATCTCCTCAGATCAGATTGACTCCGAGCTGGCTGGCACAGCTAGGGTACTGTGCACTAGTCAATAAAGGATGACTTGATGGGATCTAATCTCTGTGCTGTTATTTCACAAACACTTCCTTCCCCCCAACCCCCCTCCTTCTGTTGCCATTCAGCTTCTAACTACCTCCTTTTCCCTTTCCTTCTCTACCATACCTTTCCCTCTCTCGCCCTTTCACTCTGTCTGTCTTATTCTACCACCTTTAACTTCACAAAAGAAAACCTAATGAGGCTTTGTGCTCCTCACATTTCCATCTACACTATTACCCCACCAGCAAACATTTCACATTGAACTGAAAGTGGCCCAAGGTTTTTTTTCTCCCAGGGAGACTTAAATGCAACTTGGTAAAAGGTGATTTCTATTTTAAAAATGAATTCTTCTGAGCAGGAATTTGAATTCTGCCATGGGCACAGAAGCACGAAGCATGCCTGGAATCTCCATTTAGTTAATCAGAGTGTCCTATCTAAATGCACAAAAAGGGGATGCTGTAAAGCTGACCAATCGGGGTCACAAAAAGCAGAACACTGCCAAAAGTTTTTTGAGAAAGAGAAATTAGAAGGAATGACCTGATTATCATTAACCCCTTCACCTTCACAATCTGCCTCACAGTTCCCCTCCACCAACTGAAACTCATTACCTTCTCTCCTTGGTGTGACTCTCATTTCCTGCCCCTCCTCCTCAAACCACACTCCCCCTCAAAGCTTCCTATTCCCAGACATGGAGACTCACTGCCACAGCTCCAAGCTTCAGCAGCCTATGAATAAGCTGCTAATTCATCCACCAGTAAAGTAAACGTCAGGCCATGTGAGGTGCTCTGGTGAGGCATATGAGGCCTGTGGACTGTAGGTTTGCCAAATATTGTAGGTTCACTGAGTTTAATGTAAATGGAGAGCTCAAATGGACCTGATTAGTTCAGTTCCACTGACTGAATTTTATGGGGAGGCAGTGGAGTCGTGGCAATGGCAGTGGATTAGTAATCCAGAATCCCAGGCTAATATTCTGGGAACATAGATTTGAATACCATCACAGCAGATGGGGAGAATTTGAATTCATTAAAATCTGGAGTCTTTTTTAAACAAAAAAAGCTAGGCTAATGGTGACCAAGTTGTAAATCCGCCACTGATTGCAAGGAAATCTACTGTCCTTTCCTATTTTGAACCACATGATTCCAGACCCAAAGCAATGTGATTAACTCTTAACTGCCTTCTGAAATAGCCTGGCAAACTACCAGTTCAGTGGCAGTTCGGGACAGGCCATAAATGTTGGCCAAGTCAAAAATGTCTTTATTCAATGAATTAAAACAAAATTCCTCAATTCAGTTTCAGGACTGTCATTACTTTTTTAAAAGTGAAACTTACCCACCACTCATGATTGTAGAGATTTTGAATATAACGTAACTTTTTCCATATCTCTAAGCATTAAAAAAGCAATTCCTTTGGTCCAGACATTGTTCCATCAAAATATAAAATGTTCCCATTTTTCTGCATCTGATATAAACTGTTTGACCAATTGGAACAAAGTTCAGGAAAGCTAAAATACTACAAGTTTTGGAAATCTAAATGTAAAAAGCAAATGTTGGAAACACTACCTGCATTCTTTAAATTAATTAATTTTGTTAAATTTTTTCTGGTTTGTGCATTCAGTTCCTCAAGACAAATCACTGAGTTTCTAATAGGTCTGCACTGATGTATATAAACATATATGTTAGAACCTTACTGATGCTGAATAGCAAAAAGATTGCATATTGATTCTCACACTGGTTTATTATTGGACTCAGCGTTTCTAAATCCTTGAATTTTGAAGGTTCTGGAATAAAAACTCCAACTAGTCTCAATATTCAAACCAGTTTTGAAAGCTCAACATAAAACTCTGAATATGTTTCTTAGCTTAAGAATTATTTGCCATTTCTGAGAGTTGTGCTGCAGTTATTATCTCCATACATTCAGAATCATTATTCTTTTCAGGGTTTTCCAGGACTGAGGGGGCTGAAGGGAGACAGAGGTGACAAAGGAGATAAGGTAAGAGACATATGCAGCTATTAATTAAAAAGCAAATTCAAGAATAAAATCACTTTCACTAATTGCACTATTTTTATTTATGACTGTAACGTGACAGAAAAAGGCCAAAGTGATTGCTAACTTTCTTTAATTCATTCATGTAATGTAGACGTCACTGGTTGGACATTTATTACCCATCCCAAGTTGCCCTTGATATGGTTAAGCAGCCTTCTTGAATTCTGCAGTCCAGTTAGTATAGATGGACCCACAATGCATTCATTCTACGGGTTTTGACACACTGACACTGAAGGAATAGTAATACATTTCCAAGTCAGGATGGTAAGTGATTTAGAGGGAAGCTTGCCATGTTTCCATATATCTGCTGCCTTGTCCTTCTAGATGGTAGTGGCATTGGGTTTGGAAAATGCTATCTAAGGAACCTTGGTGAATTTTTCCAGACCATCTTGTAGCTAGTGTACAATACTGCTGCCAAGTATTGTGTTATTCAAGCGGGTTGTTTTGTCCTGAATGGTGTTAAGCTTCTTGATGATAGTATAAGGTAGCGGTGGAGGTTAGATAGACCTTAGGTGTAGGGTAAAAGTTCAGCACAACATTGTGGGCCGAAGGGCCTGTACTGTGCTGTACTGTTCTATGTTCTATGTTCTATGTTCTTGAGTGTTGTTGGAGCTGCACTCATCCAGGCAAGTGGGGAATATTCCATCACATTCCTGACCAGTGCCTTGTAGATGGTGGAAGGGTTTGGGGAATCAGGAGGTGAATTATTTGCTGCAGGATTCCTAGCCTCTGCTTTTGTAGTCACCGTAATTACATCTAGTTCAGTTTCTGGTCAGTGGTAACCTCCCAGGACATTGACCATGGAGTCTCAGCAATGGTATTAAACATTGAATGTCAAGGGCAAAGGGCATTGCCTCACAATTGTGTGGCACGTATGTCACGTGCCACATATCAGCCCAAATCTGGATATTATCCAAGTCTTATGATATTTGGTCCTTGGTGAAATATCTCCATAGAGGCCAGAATCCCATTAGCAAGTCACTCTTTTATTTACATGTGGAGAGTCCTTGACAATAATCCAGCTCCCTAAGAGCCCAGCTCTCAGAGTGAACAGGATGTCTGACACTCTTGTTTATATCTGTCAGCCAGGGCTCCCTGATTGGATCGGATTAACAGCCCCAATCAAGGAACTCATTCTATGAAGTCCACCTGGCTGACCTTGTTATAATCACTAAATTCCTCCACCACTGAGTGCGAGAACATAGGCTGTTTTTTTTTGTAGCTCCTCCTGGGTGGTTCAGTTCCCTCCAACTCTGTCTCTGATATGGGTGGCAAGTAATGCACAGTAGCTCGCCTCTTCAACCTGGAGCATCTTGTAAGAAATTCATTCTCATCTTCAGGCAGCAAAGGCATTGAGACAGCAACATCCGCCATGTCCATCCCAGATTCTAAGGTATCTTCAACACTTGATGGATAGGGAGAACCCACGTGTTGCGGAACTGTTAGAAAGGCTATTGAGGAGCCGAGCAAGTTTTGCTCCGGCACCATTTGCAAGTTTGCAGCTTTCTTATGGTCCATGTGCTTGTTCAAGACCGTCACACCTACCTAAACTTTATATGTCAACCATGCTTCTTCCCATACAGGGCCATTCCTGTGGTTTCTATACCAAACTTTGTCCCATGAACTAAACTGTCTCTCTTGCTCAGTGGAGTCTTGTGCGTAGTACTGGTGTTCCTGATGCCGTTTCACCTTTCTTCTCTCATTCCCCCTCCACCAAGTCCCTTCCAGGTTCGGGAAGATCAGATTTAACCTGGTGCGGAGTCTTCTCCCCATTAGCAACTTTTCTGGAGTTATCCCTGTAGTTGCACAAGGGATGATCCTATAATCAAATAGGAATCGGGACAGTTGGTATCTACTGAAGCTGTAGGCTGTTTCTTTAAGCCTGCCTTCAAAGTTTGGACTGCTGTTTCTGCCAGACCATTGGATGATGGATGGTATGGAGCTGTCCTTGTAGTTGAATACCATTCGACTTTAGGAAATACTCAAATTCCCTGCTAGTAAGGGAATGGCCTATTATGATGGCCTATTATCTGTGACCAACACCTCTGGGAGTCCGTGTATTTTAAAAGATGCGCACGGCTTTTCTATCATTGTCCCCGTGTCTGACTCTATGCATGTCCAGCCACTTTGAGTGGGCATCCACAATGACTAAGAACATTGAACCCATGAAAGGACCTGCATAGTCGGCTGAGTCCAGGGTTTACCCGGCCATTCTCACAAATATGGGGGAGCTGCTGGCAGTAATTTTGTTGGCACTCTGGACACTGCCCCACCAATGTGGTTATGTATGCATCCAATCCTGGCCACCAGACATAACTTCTCGCAAACATTTTCAGTTTAAAAATTCCTGGATGACCCTGGTGGAGTTCAGTTAGTTTCGAGTGCAATGTTTGCTTGGGACAATCACTCTTGCTCCTCCATAATAATATGCCATCCTCTACCGTGATCCTCTATCACTACCAGCTGTTTCAGTTTTGCCAGGACCAGGTCCTTCTGTGTCCAAAGTCTCATTCTTCCAGTCACAGCTGACAATGTGTCCAGAAAATTTAAAACCAATATGGATTCTTCCCATGGTGGTATCACTGGTGGTGTATCTGCCAGCAGGAGGCAGCTCAGTGCATCTGCATTTGCTCCTTGGCCTCCCGGACAGTGTTCCAAATTGTAATTATACGCAATTAGTGTTAGAGCCCACCGCCTGAAGCTATGGGCAGCATTGACTTGTCCTCTTTAAGTAGACCTAGCAGGGTTTTGTGGTCTATTATTATTTCAAATTGATGTCCGTAAGGTATTGGTGGAACTTCCTGACTCTAAATATGACCGCCAAATTTCTTTCTCTGTCTGAATGTATTTACGCTCTGCATTAGCCAAAGTCCTCGATGTGTACACTGTTGGGCACTCCTCTCCATTGGGCCACCTTTGAGCTAATAGTAACCCGATGCCATACGGTGAGGCATTATGTCAATACCAGATCTCGTTTGGGATCATAACATACCAACACCATAGATGATGATAGCTATTTCTTCAGTTCCCTGAAAGCTGTCACTTAGCTACACGACCATTTCCAAGGTTGACTCTTTTGTAAGATTGATGCAAAGGTGCCAGGATGGAGGCTAGGTTATTTATGAATTTTCCATAAAAGTTCACCAGCCAAGGAAAGACCTAAGCTCCGATATAGACAAGGCACCTTTGATTGCCCTCAATTTATCTTCCAATGGGTGTAACCCGGTCTTGTCGACTCTGTAGCCCAAGCAGGTCACTTGGGGTACCTGGAACACAAAGTTTTCCCTTCTAAGGCTTAGACCCACTTTGGACAAACGTTTATGTCAAGTTCTCTAAGTGCTCCTTATTGATCTTCCCTGTTGTTCACATGTCACCTAGATAAATGGCAACCTGGGGTAGACCTTGTAAAATGTTCTCCATCATCCACTGGAAAATGGCACAGGCTGACAATACCACAAATGGCAGTCTCTTATATTGATACAAACCCTTACGGATATTAATTGTAGCATGCTTGTGGGAATCCTCATCTAACCACAATTGCAAGTACACATGGCTCATGTCCAGATTCGTGAAGGACAGTCCCCTGCCAGCTTTGCATATAAATCCTCTATGCAAAGGATTGGGTATTTGTGCAGCTGCGAAAAGTGGTTTACCATTTGCTTAAAATCCCCACAAAGGCAAAACCCCACGTAGGGGTTCATAATCAGTCCAACCAGTGCTGCTCATTCTGCAAACTGGAGTAGTTTGATGATTCATTCACTTTCTGCTTTCTGCCTCTAATTCTACAAATGGCACTGGGCAGGCCTTGCAGAAACATGGAATTGCTTCCTAGTCACCATGTAAGGTGGCCTCGGCTCCACTGATAGTCCCTAGACCTTCCTGAAGAACATTCAGGTATTTAATTAGGACTTCAGTCAGGCAACTATTTTCTGATTGAAAAACGACAAGTCAACCTAAGTGAATCGTTCTCAACTAATTTTGCCCCATCAAGTTTGGGCTCGAGCCTTTTACAACAAACAGTGGTAACTGAAATGGTTGCTTTTCATAAGAGACCAGAAGCAAAATTTGCATCCTTAATCTATAAAGGTTCCCTGGTATAGGTTCTCAGTCTAGCTGAGGTCTTGCATAAACTTAAGGGTTGTTGTACTGAGTGAATTTTGTTAAAGACAGATTCTGCACTGACTGAAATGGTCATGCTGGTATCCATCTCCATTAGAACCAGGTGACCATGTAACCAGATGTTTGAGATAACACGGTGTAGAGCTGGATGAACACAGCAGGCCAAGATGTTTATTTTGATTAGTTCTGATTTGGATGTTGCTAAGCAATTTAACTGTTCCAAAGCAGATGTAGGTGGACTTTCCAGAGTGTCTGACACTCCTGTTCTTGTCTAGCACTGTAACTACATGTTAAGCCGGAAGTGCACCTTCTATATTTGAAGAACCATCAACTTCAGCCTTTTAAAAACGAATTAATGTGCTGCAGACAACTGCAAAAGTAAGCCTTGGTTAAAAGCCTGATTAATTTGTGAATTTATTCCTGCATTATGTAATGTCCTGCACTGATAACTGAATTTCATTGTGCACTTTTAATGAAAGTAGTAAAAGAAATGTGTATCTTTTACACACATAACCATTGGCTGATACTGCATTCACATAAGATTTGATTGAAACATTTACCTTGTCGTTATCTCCACAGGGAGAGAGAAGTTATCCAGGTAAAAAAGGAAGCAAGGGACAAAAGGGAGAACAAGGTCCCCCTGGATTAGATCAACCTTGTCCAGTGGTATGTGATTTCTGTTTTATTTAATTTGAAATATGTCCAGTGATTTTCCTCAGGGAAAGGGCACATTTTGTTTTTTAAAGTTTTAAAAGTTTTCTACTTGTGTAGAATATCCATAATGTTCAACTTAGAGTATGAAATAAAGGAAACAAATTGAGATAAGATACTTTATACTTGTGTTAACAGATAATACACAGCATAGAAGTGGGACATTCAGCACAACTAGTCTATACTGGCATTTATAATCCACTTGAGCATTCCCTGATTTTATTTTTCCATCCAGTGGACCTCCTAGGTCTATGCATGGTAGCAGCTTCTGGATGTGGAAGCCAATGGGTTGGCACACTAATGTTAGAAACTTTTTTTTCATAATAAATGTTCTATTAATGTTCCCACTAAACAAAATCAGAATCACAATAAGCAAAAGGCAAAATGGAGCAAATGCTGAAAATTTGAAATAAACACAAAAGATTTTAGAAAGTCAGCCAACCAGGCTGTACCTGTGCAGAAAGCAGTCAAGCTAATGTTTTCAGGCATGGACCTTCGTTTTTCTAATTTGAAAGGTAAATTTATCAGTCCCTCCTCAGATCCTAGTGGACCTGCTGAGATTTGTCCAGCTTTTGTGTATCCTGTCTGTGAGACAATCCTCACTGTATAGCATGGCTGTTCTGTGATTTCCCCCAGCCCCCAAAAAATGTCTTGAGTTAATCAGGATGAAATAATATCATTCATTTATTAAGTTCTTTTGTCTATGTCCATTATAGGGCCCAGATGGCCTGCCAATTCCAGGATGTTGGCACAAGGTAATTTACTTATGCTTCCCTAATTCATCTGGGAACAGTCAATTTTAATGTTATGTGATCTTAATTTCTTGAAATGAATCCACTGGCATAATAAACAAATGTTCAGAATTTGTTCAAGTAATGCAAGAGGAGACTGAGCAAAAAGCTAACTTAAGCCAAGTTAATTCAACAAATAAATTGTGTGATTGGCAATGCTGAGACTGTATCTATAGATGTAAATAAGATATATTAAATAATGCCCACATGAAAGTAGGTTTACACAGTTATTATGGGAGTGAAGATCAAATGTTGTCTTCAAGTGAAGCTGGGTTAGAAGAAGAACTAAATTACAGATTTAATATAGTTCCCAATTTAAAGTAATATATTCTGTAATTATTGTTACATTTCCACTATAATTTCCTAAACCAATACTTAGCGTGTAAACTTGATACACATCAGCCATGATCTAATTGAATGGCTGAAAATATACTCAATGGGCTTAATGATCCATTCCTGTTTCAATGTTACTACATAGAAATTACATCCTCCTGCCAGTGCTGAATATATTATCTTCACTGGAGAAACTGCAATATTTGGAGTTGAACATTTATGTAATCAGTTTCCATTGTAGCTGTGAACAGGAATGTATAGTAGAGAAAATGTTGGTAGGAAGCGTATCAGACATAAGATGTTTAAAATAAGACATTTTTTATATTAGCTGATGAGCATAATTGCTTGGAGCATAGAGGTTACTCTGCAGCATAAGCTGAGAGATTGGGTAAATGCAAAACTGAGGCCTTATAACACCACTACTAGTAGGATGTTATAATTACAGCACAACTACTGTAGACAGCTACCATTATAAATGTGAACAGAATTTATGATGGAATAGTTGACACAAAATGTAACAATAGAAAGTGAGTGTTCAAAGAAGTACAACCGATGATAGATTTTAGCATTTAATGTGTATGGAGGAGGCTATAGTTACTGGATTAATCAATGTTGCACTTTATTTTCTCTTTATCTCATTTGCTTTCCTACCCCTTCTGGCCAGAATGGAGTTATTACTTTAGTGCAAAGGTCAGGATTTGTAGCAGTATGTTTGCAACACAATGACTATGAGATTAGTAAAGGCAAATTACAAGTGGTTGGAAATCAAAAATAAAAAGCCTTTCAAACTCATGTGTTAAGTCTGTTTCTATCTCCACAGTTGCTGCTAGAAGTACTGATTTTCTCCAACATTCTGCTTTTCTAATTTTTTTTAAAGTTGCCATAATTGGTGTGTTTTGGTAGTTTTTATGGTGCATTGTAGAAATTCAGCATTCTGCTAGAAGATGGAGGATATCAGTAGAATATTTACTGGCAATCCTGTCTTCCTAAATAAAGAATACATGAATATCTATGGTTTGTGAATGCCCACGAAGCTGGCCCTGTTGTGTTGTCATTAATGGGGCTTCCAATGCAAAGTCCAGTTGTGCAGAGGAACCTGACCTGAAGCAATTCTTGCTTGTAGAATTCACTGGTAAAATACCTCATCTATCAAAGATCTATGCGTTCAAAAGTCACATCTGTATACTGAGAACTTTATCTATTAAAAAATAGACTGCTTACACATTTATAATGAAGAATGCCTTTGTGAACAACTCATTCTGCAATTATACCTTCCTCTGATCAGTAGACAAAAGCATGGGGTACTGCATGTGGTTCTGGTCACCCTACTGTAGAAGTGATATTATTAAATAGAAGGAGTGCAGAGAAGATTTACTAGGATGCGACATGGACCAGAAAATTTCAGTGATAAAGAGAGGCTGGATAGGCTGGGACTTTTTTCCCTAGAGAGTAGGAGACTGAGGGATGACCTTATACAGGTCTATAAGATCATGAGAGGCATAGATAAGTCAACAGCTTTCCTCATGGTAGGGGAGTCTTAAACTAGAGGGCATAGGTTTAAAGTGAAAGGGGACAGTTACAAACGTTTTCATGCAGAGGGCGACCAGGGGTAATAGTGGAGGTGAATACAATTTTGACATTTAAGAAACATTTGGACAGGTACATGCTTGGGATAGGTATATGGAGCGATATGAACCAAACGCAGGGAAATGGGACTAAATTAATTGCGAAAACTGTGTGGCATGGGCAAGTTGGGCTGAAGGGCCTGTTTCCATGCTGTAAACTTCTATGACTCTTTGCCATTTAATCAGAGTGATGAGAATTTAAAACGCAGTACTGTATGAAATAGTTGATGCAAGTAACTAGCAAGGTGAAAGTAGAGTATACAAGGTAGCATGGAATATAAAGGTAAGTTGATAGGGTGAAATGATGTCGCTGGGAAAACTTACGTGGACAATAAATGTTAGCATTGACCAAATTATGATTTTGTGCGCTATAAATTCTCAGTAACCAGAAGAAAATAATACAAAGTATTATGTAGAAATAAGAACATACGGCATGATTTTCAAGTTGGGTTTGAATTACATATATCCTTGAGCCTAATTCTTCCCCACCTTCTAATGCTGTTTTACTTGAAGTCCATACCTGGTCTTGATTCCCTTTGCACAGGATCTCATTTAGTGTTAGGAAACAACTTCAGTTATATTTTTAATTATTTTTAAACATCTTTGGGAGATAGACATCATCATAAACACATTGTTAGTGAATGTATTGTCATAATTTATTGTTTAAGATCTTCCAAATGGTCCATTTCAGAAAAGAATAAAACTTAAGATCTTTAAAAAACATTCTGCAATCAACAAAATATTTATTGTTTGAGCTGGCACTCATTCTGCAATTGACCTAAAAATATTCCATTATATCTTCTGGTGAACTAAATATGAGCTCTCACTGAAACTGAAATTGAATTAATGTTTTAAGCACTTTTCTGCTGGAAACACCACAAATCCATATGTTATTAAATGATCTACAAGGGAATGATCATTCAATACTTATTCAATCCTTTCCCAATTTATTAAATGAATGAAGTTTAATTATAATGGAATGGGTAAATGAGCAGAGCCTCTGCCAATGTTAACCTGCCTACCTCATGAATACTGAGGGACTGCATTTGCCCCAACTCTGAACTGGCTGAGATTCTTTATGCCACCACATCTAGGAATTACACTTGGGATCTCATTGCTCAGCTTCACAAGACAAGTATCTTTCTGGTTTTGATAGTAATATCACATAGAATCAACTATTTTTCAATTCAAATTTCTACTTTAAAAAATTTTGGGTGACAATCCATACAATTACACATGCCAGTTTGCTGAAATTTACGTTTATAACTAAATAATTATGTTGTGCTTTTTTTGCAGTGATTACTAACCAACAAGCAAGAAGTATGTAGATAATGATGTATTTTGTGCTTCAACACATTGTAAAGAAACTCCACTGTTAATATATTAAGCCTTGCATATCTGATGAGGATGGAGGTGTATGGAATGAAATATTATTCCTGAATTTAGACCAGAAGTCTCGACTTAAAGATAACTAATTAAGTGTCAGCTGTGGAACTGGATTACGCTGATAGCTACACTGCTATTGCACGTTACCTGAGATGTAACCTTGTCAACTCATAAATTGATTTTATATATGGTCTGACTCGTTTTATTTTGAGTTGTATATTATTCTAATGAACCTTAAACATTTATCCATTTTAATCAAATGGGGAGGAAAGCAATGTAATTTGCCTCCAAGTTAAGAAGAAAACCAGACAATCCCATTTGTGAAAATGGCTGTTTCGTAGGTGAAAAAAGTAATAAACTATTACTGGTTATTTCAAAAAGGATATGTGTATTGGTTTTGTTGTAGCCAAGCCTCTAAGTTAAATGTCATGATGGTGTACAACAGTGAAACGAATATTCGTTAGAGGTTTCAGGATCTGCAGAGAAGCATTCTAAATGGAGGACACAAAAAATAACTAGGATGGATTTTAGCTTAAGGTATAGAGAGGGCAAGTGATGTGTAGCGAGGATGCATGTTGCAGCTGTTCTTTCTTGCATTAGGCCTAAGCATTTTACATGCCATCAGTGACATGAGTATGTCACATCAGCATCATGTTGCACGTAGCAATCGCCGAAGAGTGAGTCATCAGCTGACTCGCTTTGTCAACCAGCTGCTAGTTGGAGCCAGAATGAGAGAAAGCAGTCATGAAGGTAGAATTTTTTTGGGAGCATAAGAGGATCCACTTCAAGCCTCACTAATAAAAAATACAAAATTACTGTGATCGCTGAAAATTTGAAAAGACTGAAAACATCCAACAGATCAGGCAGCATTTGTGAAGAATGAAACCAACTTAGTTTTTCAGGTCAATAACTGTTCTAATAAAAGATCATTGACCTGAAATGTTAACTCTTTCTCTCTCTACTTGCTGCCAGATCTATAGAATATTTCAAGCATTTTCTGTTATTACTTTGAAAGAATATTTTTCCCAGATATTCTTGGGAGCAGCCTGCAGCATTCCCTTTAAAAACTCCTGATTAAACAGTGCACAGCTTGGTACTGTTGGGTGGAGGATCTGCAGCACATGGTCTGCTAATTAGACATTGAAATTGCAGTCAAGATCCTATGCACTTCCTCGGACCCTGATTTGCATATTACAAGTGATCTCCCATCTGAAACAGGTCTGCTGGCCAGCAGGCCATCTGAGGACTGTATCAGAGATAACGGTTGCCAGGGCATCAGATGAAGATCAAGCAGCAAGCCAAGATCATAACAGTTCTTAAAAAGTATGACATTCCAAGCATAAATTCTTTGATAAGTAAGGTCTGAGTCCATTGGTCAAGTCGGGTAATGTGACTGTCTGATGAATAGATCCCACAGAAGATCTTTTATGGCACAGTAACAATTTGGAAACTATTTGTGTTTGCTAGCAGACAAGATGTAGAGACTTCCTTAACTGATTTTGAAACATCCCTTTCAATAAAAATGACTGAGTGGGAACAATTTGCTCAAGATAGAAAATCATTTTGAAAAATAATCCACAAAGACACCTCCTTCTATGAGGCTTGTTGTGTTATGTCTCGCTGTCAGCATGTCCATATGTCTTTCAGAGACATGTGCATGATATATCCTCAATGTATCATATATGTGTCCTGAGATATAAAGATCTCATATTTCATCTTTTCTCAGATCACTTGAAGTATGACACTCTACTGAAAGCAAGCACGATGACTATAACCTTATAGCTTACTATCGGCCCAAACACTTATATGCCTAAGGAATGTAATGTTTGTACATAAGAGTTTGACATAAACTATGGAACATATTTATATGCTTTAATATTTATTGTAAATTTAGTATTTTGGTTTTTGAGTTGGTAACCAATGGGTTTTTCTGTGTGTTTGAAATTAACAATTAACTGTAGCCATTATAATTTCTCTAAGAAATTGTTTTTAAATTAATAGGATTTTATGCACATTGATAGTGTTATGATCCAAATTCCAGTTTAGAGGGTAAGAGAGATCTTTTTTTAAAAAACGAAAAAACTGCAGATACTGTAAATCAGAAACAAAAACAGAAGTTGCTGGAAAAGCTCAGCAGGTCCGGCAGCATCTGTGAAGAAAGATCAGAGTTAATGTTTCAGGTCCGGTGACCCTTCCTCAGAACTTATGTTTCCATGAGAGACCTCCGTGTTACAACCAAAACAAATCAAAATATAATCTATCAGAGCAAGTTCTAACATCAGCTGGGATCATAACAAGCAGGGACTCTTGATAGGATTTTTACATTCACTGGATTTAAGAGGGATCTGTGTCTTTCATGTTAAAGTCATAGCTACAGAGTGGTTCTGGGTATACAGCAGCTGTGTTGTGGTCAAGTTTATTGCACAGAATTTAAAGATGGTTTTTCAAGTTGCTAAGCATTTTCTGGAAGTGGAAGACTTGTCAAAGAATTATTTAAGATTTTTGACTAAAGCTAAACTGAGATTTTTAGCAGGCACATTGACAGCAGAAATAAAAGCAAGATCTCATATGTATGAGAAACTTCAAGTGCAATATTTAGAATTGGGATCCCATAGCTGAAATTAGCTAAAATACAGTAAGGAATGAAAAACAAAACTGCACTTAGAAAAAGAGAAATTTAAAAACTTGGAAGTGAAGAGAAAGGAAAATGGAGTATAATGGAAAGAGAGGACAGAGAAAAGTAGGAGAAATGGAATAAAGAAAATTTGAACTCCAAAAAGAAAAGGAAATTACAGAACATGAGATAGCAAAAGAAAAGCTTAGAATGAAAAAGGGAGGAAGGGGCAGTAATTCAGATGATTCTCATTCCAATGAGGGATTTGATTAAACAAAATTCTACACTTAGTGCCTAAATTTAATGAGGATGAAGTCAGAAGATATTTTACCTTAACTGAGAAGGCAGCTAAACAGATGAAGTGACTACAATGTTTTGACAGGTATAACAATGACCTTGTCAGAAAAACAATCTGCAGTGTATGAAACTGTCAAAGAGGTAATACTCAAAGCTTATGAATTCGTGCTTGAAGTTTATCAATTGAAATTTAGGACTTATAAGAAAAAACCGAATCAGACATTTGGGAAATTTGTAAGGGAATAAGAAATGCTGCAGGATCAGTGGTTTAGATCACTCAAGCTAGAGGGGAAAATGGAAAATGTAAGGGAAATTATGATCATGGAAGAATTCACAAGTAACACTCCTGCAATTTTTTTAAGTTACTTGGATAAGCATCAAATGTTCAAGATCAGTGAAGCAGCAGATATAATTGTCAGGTCGTGGGGAAACCCCAAGCCTCAACTAAATCTGTACCATTAATTCCAATGAGATAACAAGGTGTAGAGCTGGATGAACACAGCAGGCCAAGCAGCATCAGAGGAGCAGGAAAGCTGACGTTTCAGGCCTAGACCCTTCTTCAGAAATGGGGGGGGGG